ATATCTCCAGAGAAGGAGACTCCACAGCCTCCCTGGGCAGCCTGGGCCAGGGCTCCGTCACCCTCAGAGGGAAGAAGTTCTTCCTCATGTTCAGCTGGAACTTCCTCTGCTTCAGTTTGTGCCCGTTGCCCCTTGTCCTGTCGCTGGGCACCATTGGAAAGAGTCTGGCCCCGTCCTCCTGACACCCACCCTGCAGATATTTAGAGGCATTGATAAGGTCACCTCTCAGCCTTCTCTTCTCCAGGCTGAACAAGCCCAGCTCCCTCAGCCTCTCCTCATAGGAGAGATGCTCCAGTCCCCTCACCATCCTCGTAGCCCTAAAGCACAGCCGCACACCTGACCGTTTGGAGGCTGCTGGCCATTGATGGCTGTTGCTTCTGATGCCGTCTGAAACATGTCTGGAGCGGTGCATTTGTATTCAATTTCACATATGTAAATTTTTTTTTAATCTGGAAAGTGGGCAAAGATAGGAAAATCTTTTCTGACCTAAGGCTTAATTTGGTGGTTTGGGTCGCAAGGCCGGTCAGCTTTGAGTTGGTGTGATGTGACATCTCATGGTGACGCAAACGGAGCCACCTTAAATCGTGACAGTGTACAAAGCGATGACTTGGGGAATATGATTATTAGAGTGATGTCTTGCGTATCAGGAGTTTTGCTTAATTTTTTTTTCCCAAATGTTGGTTGGTTTTCTTGTTGGATTCCTGTCCTTTGTCCTCCTGGCAGATGTGTGCTCCTTTTGAGCGAGCGCTGAATGCCAGAATTGGCATGAAAATCTCTCTGAGTCTTGGAGGAGAGGTGGGTTCAGAGAAATAGTAAAGCCAGTTCCACTCAGGAATTTCTGTCATTCCAGATAAAAAATCCCAATGCATATCATCTCTCTCTCTGTCCCACAAGCTCAGTTAACCAGCAGATGGGACCCCAGCAACGCCTGAGCACCCCGCTGGGCACAGAAAGCCGATACGTTTAAGAAGTGGCAAGCATTTTTGATTCTTTGAATGTTGTTGTGTAGGAAAAAAAGATCTGGAGAGGTGTCTTCAACACAATTGTGTGGAATGTTGAATTCTGTGCTTCGTGAAAAAGCACGTCTCGTTTGGATCCTCCCGTTCTGCCTTGGCTAATCTGGGAGCCCTGGAGCTGCCCGGCCTGCCACGCGGTGATGGGGAGAGGTGGAAGCTATACCTGCTGCTGTACCAAGTGCTGTAGAATTCAGTATTTTGGCATTTCCATCAATGTATGTTTTACTTCAGGCAGTCAAGGTTTGAGTAGGGGAATACCATAGAATAGGCAGAAGACTTGAAACAGGTTTTTTTGTTCAAAAAATCCAAGGCTGCGTACTTGGTGCACATTATTTTTCAGTGTAAGATGATATGGCTTTGTAGTACAGATCACGGTAATGCTTATGATTTGGCTTTGTAATGGTTCATTAAAATGTCTAATTCTTCTTCCCCCTCCCCCTTCTTTTTTCCCCCCCTATTTTTAAAAAGCTCCCCATTGGGGCTTCTTTTGGGGGTTTTTTGTTTTATTTTCCCTGGTGTTCAATAACAGTTACAGCTTTATCTGAACTTAGTTCCTGTCGTTCTTACTGGTGCTGACCATGATGTGCATGAATTCTTCATGGGCATTTTCTCTTCCTGCTTTGTTCATAACAATATGCACAAGAGACAGAGTACTCAATGTTTTTAAAAGGCTGACGAAACTTCCACGTTTCCATGGGTAGTAACTATTGTGTTTCTAGGTGGTGGAATCATGATGGCTACGTTTGAAGTTGCCCTTTGCTTCTGTTTATAAGGCTGTATTTTCAGTTGTATATGATCGTACCAGACTTCTGCTATTTGTGCAGAAATTTCCATCCTCAGGAGAGAAGAGGGCAGTCAAGTAAGGACTGCAGTATCTCAAATATTCAGCAGTTACTAATTATTTCCACATTCTGTGAACAGTGCCCATCTTTCACAAGCTGCACTCTGAACTGGATGTGTTGGATGCTTATAAAATATCTATGCTTATAAATATCTGCAGGGTGGGTGTCAGGAGGACAGGGCCAAACTCTTTGCAGTGGTGCCCAGCGACAGGACAAGGGGCAACGGGCACAAACTGAAGCAGAGGTAGTTCCAGCTGAACAGGAGGAAGAACTTCTTCCCTCTGAGGGTGACGGAGCCCTGGAACAGGCTGCCCAGGGAGGTTGTGGAGTCCCCATCCCTGGAGGGGTTCAAAAAACGTGTAGATTCTTCAGGACATGGTTTAGCAGGCATGGTGGTGCTGGGTTGGTGGTTGGACTTGATGATCTTAGAGGTCTTTTCCAACCTTCATCATTCTATGATCCTATGTGCTACTTCCAGTTACTGGCTGGTTTTCTGCAGAGCTTCCTCTCTGGAGTGCTGAACTCTGCTGTGTTTCTATACAGTGTTACTTTGGGCAGCCCTGGCTGAACACCGTGGACGTTCCTTCCTTCTTTAAAATCTTCATCATCATCAATCTGGGCAAGCCAAGCATTCTCCAATGTCTAGGCTTTTGACCTTGCTTCCTTGGGGCTTCCACTAACCTTGGTCAAAGAACTTCCACCAACACAGGCCCCTCCTTGGCCCAGGTGGGTTTCACCCCCATCTTCTGATTCCTGCCTCACCATGAGCTTGTGTGGCCCGAGCAGCATCCCAGCGTCTCTGGAAACTTGGAAAACGTGGTGGTGGTGGCTACAGAATGGTGGGAGCGCTTCAGCGACAGGGAGAGGAGCAGATAAGGTGATGCATTGGCAGCTATTTCCCTCACTGGTCTTAGTCATAATTTAAAGTCAGCGAGGAGGAAGCCTTCCTTTGTCTGTACTCAAGTTATTTTGTGTAAAGAAGAGCAGATTAAACCTATGATTACAAATGATTGAAAACTTTGTATGGAAAGAAGTGGTACTTTTGACTAAGCAATTACACCGTACTCTGTGCACTTTCACCGGTGTAGATCTTTATACTCTCCCTCTCAGGTTTCAAGTGACTTGTGCAGTTAAAGCACCATCAGTGTCGTAAGTGGAAAAGAAAGCAAAAAGTCTCTACTGAAAAAAAACAACAATTAGATAAATTGATTAGATTTTACTTACATTTCACAAAGTGTTTTTTGTTTTTCTCTTACAGAAAAAATACAGGAAAGGATCTGTGGACATTTCAAGGATTAAATGTGTCGAAGTTGTCAAAAGCGACGGTATTATTCCCTGTCAGAATAAATATCCATTTCAGGTATGTCCCTTCTATATAAAATACAGAGCTCTTT